CTTTCAGTAAAACCAAGTTCTAAACATTCTCGCAATAGAATTCCAAAATCCACTATAAGCCAATTTTTAAAAAGCCAAACAATTAACAGAGAATAATAAAAAATAATGCAATTAATAGTGAATAATTTTATTAGTTATTATTTTATTAATATGCACTTCAGTGCTAAAGATCAGGCAATTATAAGAAAGCTTATAATACAGCCTTTTCAGGGCTTAATTAGTAAACAACCTATTTGGGAAATTATATCATTACTAATGTGCATTATTTACCACATTATATCCTTTGTATTCTAGAACAAAGTAATAGAAAGGGAAGGTGGATAAGATGTACTGTTAATTAAGAAACTTCCTGGTAGATGAACAAAGGCCTTTGTTTTTTGGGCACCATTGATACTGTATCACTGTTATGCTTCTTTCTTTTGTGTGCCTCACAAAGCTATAAATATATACAGTATTTTTTAAATTCCTTAACTACAGATGAAATAATAATCGTAAACATACTGTAGTTTGAAACATATGTACAGATGCTCAGTAAGGTTTGTTGTTAATATAAAATACCTGACAATAGTATTGAGCACTATTGGACTGAAACACTTATTCTTAATATAACAGTAAATTAATTAATGGAGAAAATAATATATACAATAACCTATCGTTTCAAAAGCAAGGACCCTTTGGATGTTTTACTTTGCTTTTAGTTTTCTCTAGTTCATGTTTATTGTCATTATACTCATACACAGGTATATGGTATAACGAAATGATATTTAGCTAGCTCTCAGACAGTAAGTAGTGCAAAAAAACAATGCAATTGTATAAGAAAAGAAAGACAGACAACAGGCAATGTGCAAAATAACAACAAGAAACGGGTAATGTGCAACATCAACAGAATGAAATAAAGGATAGAAAATTATGGGGAGGGAGCTTTTTGATATGTGAGGTAGAGGTAGATCTCAATGTGTGTTTGAGTTTTGATAAAGAGTGAAGGCACTGTAAGGGTTCAAATCGTGGGTGAGAGAGGCTTGAGAGCTTAATAGTTTATAGTGCGGGGGTAAAAACTGGTAGTCTGATAGTCTGGGTACTGTTTTCCAGATGGTAGAGGGTCATACAGTCTGTAGCTGGGGTGTGTGGGGTCTTTGATGATGCTAAGAGCTTTCCTTAAGCACCGTCTGTCATAAATGTCCTGTATGGATGGGAGGGCAACCCCAGTGATGGACTGGACAGTTTTCACCATCTGCTGTATGGCTTTGCAGTCAGCAATACTGCTGTTTCCATACCACACTGTGATGCAACCTGTCAGTGTGCTTTCTGTAGTGCATCTGTAAAAGTTAGTGAGGATCCGGGGACATATCTTAGCCTTCTTCAACCGCCTTAGGAAGTACAGGTGCTGTTGCGCTTTCTTAATCAGACAAGTGGTGTTGAGAGACCATGTGAGGTCCTTAGTAATATTGACGCCAAGGAATTGAATTGGAATTGAAACAAATTTCCACTTCAGTCCCATTGATGTGGATAGGGGCATGGCCGTTTTGCAGTTTTCTGAAATCAACAATCAGCAGCTTGGTTTTGCTGATGTTGAGGGTGAGGTTGTTGTTTTCACACCATGTTGTAAGGAGATTGACCTCCCTGTAGCCCCTCTCATCATTCTCGGGTGGGGAATCATTTAGGTGGGGAATTTGGGTGGTTGATGCACTTGATGGAGCAATAAACTTGGAAATATTTTATTTAAGCACAAAGGCAAATTATATTTACATTGTAAAACCTTCCATGTGTGCCTATCTCCACAATATGCGATATGTTATGGTTTTCAATGTCCTTGCTTACTTTATACTGTAGTTTTTTGTGTTTAGCTACTCATTAGGTGATCTTCCACAAAATGTTAACATGTTATAACAGAGAAACAAAACCTCAGTAATCTGTACGTTTTCACAGTTGATTCGTTAGTCAATGCAATTGAAAAAATTAAAAGAGAACTTAATAAAAGAGAATATAATAAACTTATAAAAATCAGATCATATCACAATATAATTGTGATATGTGATAATTGTACACTACCAAGACTTTTGCCATTGCATTGCATACAGTATAAGATGTGCTTTGATGTTTTAACTTTATATATTATATAAATATAACTGGCAAAAAAGGTTAAAGAGCATTGTTTTACATATATTTATATGCATTGTCTCTGTCAGTTAAATAACAGTGAAGAACTAGACAGTTTTGTCTTTTGCTGCAAAATATGCTGTAGTTTGTAGATGATCAACAGATCAAAAACTACATATGAAAACAAGACAGGTTGTTAGATCTGCGTGTGTTAAAAACAGACATGTAACTTGAAAACAAAATATTTAATCTTAAAGGCTTTAATAACTATTATATTGCATTCAATCGAACTCTTTATGTTAATAAAACTGTTCTTGTAAGTGAGAGATAAATATTTATTGTAAGAATTCTGCTTTTGCTAAATATAAGGTTAATATTTCTAATATATTTAGACAGTTTATCACCTTTTCCTGATACATTATCATAAAAGAAAATGCACTGGCATGAAATATATATTTTATTAATATTCAAATTGCCAGTCAACAATTTTTATTATTGTCCTACTTGATCCTGTGTGTAGTCGTTAGTTAAGACTGCAAAAAGAGAATTGTCAAAATAGTCCCTCTACCTGCCTCTGATATCAGAATTTGCAACCAATAGGGGTGACTTGTCTCTAATTGACATCACTGAGATCTGCAAACCAAACTCAACTGGTACATGAAGAAGCAAGAACACACTGGAGAGCTTAGCAATAGCAAATGACCTGGTAGACCACGGAAGACCACAGTAGTGATGACCGAAGAATACTTTCAATCGTGAAGAAAAACCCCTTTTTCAACTGTTGAACAGATCAGGAACCCTCTCCAGGATATAGGCATAGATGTGTCAAAGACTATCATAAAGAGAAGAATACGCCAGCATAATCTCAGAGGGTTCACAAGATGAAAACCACTGGTAAGCGTCGAAAACAGAAAGGCCAGGTAATAGTTTGCTAAACAAAGTACATAAAAAAGCCTGTAGAGTTCTGGGGCAAAGTCTTATGGATGAGATAAGATTAACCTGTACCAGAGTGATGGAAAGAGAAACATGTGGAGAAAAAAAGGAACTGCTCATGACCCAAAACATACCACCTCATCTGTGAAACATGGTGAAGGTAGTGTCCTGGATTGGGCATGTATGGCTGCCAGTGGACCTGGCTCACTTGCCTTTACTGGTGATGTGACTGCCAACGGCAGCAGCAGGACGAATTCTGACGTGTACAGAAGCATTTTATCTGCTCAGATCCAACCAAATGCCTCAAACCTCATTGACAAGCACTTCACCTTGCAGCAGGACAATGACCCCAAACATACTGTTAAAGCAACTATGGAGTCCAAGTACTTACGGACTGCACTGTACAGTATATAGCACTTTTCTGGACAGTCCACTCAAAGCGCTTTACAGGTAATGGGGATCCCCTCCATCGCCACCAGTGTGCAGCCCCACCTGGATGATGCGACGGCAGCCAGAGTGGACCAGTATCCTCACCACACACCAGCAGGGTGATGAAGCCAGTTCAGAGATGGGGATTATTAGGAGGCCATGATTGGTAAAGGCCAATGGGAAGTTTGGGCAGGACACCAGGATAACAGCTCTACTGCTTTTGAGAAACACCCTGTGGTTTTTAATGACCACAGAGAGTCAGGACCACAGCTTTACATCTCGTCCAAAGGCCAGCACCTTTTTACAATATAGTGTCGCCATTACTATACTGGGGCATTAGGACCCATACAGATTGCAGGGTGAGCGCCCTTTAACTGGCCCCTTTAACACCTCTTCCAGGAGCAGCCTTAGTTTATCCCAGGAGTCCTCCATCCAGGTACTGACCAGGTTCACACCTGCTGAGCTGCAGTGGGCTGCTAGCGGTGAGCTGCAGGGTGATATACTGTATTTGCTGGCTAAGACAATAAGGGGGAAACTACAGCTCTACCAAGAACTACTTGGTAGCAGTAAGACCAGCCCCCAAAAAATCCTAAGCATTTTAATTTTCTCAAGAACAAATGAGTGCTCCAAACTTACTTCTCTGTTGACTATTCTCAACAGTTTGGTAGCAACTATAAAAACAAAACATGGAACAAGGCAATTGTGCTGTTTATGCTTGCTGCAGATAGGGGGGGGAATCGCCTCTCAATCTCCTCTCAATCTCTGATTTCAATCTCCATTAACAAGCACTAATAATTTCAATTGTCTTCAACAGAGGCTGGCAAGTTGTTCTTGCATGGGCATGTTTTTTTCCCTCGATAGGATAGAGGATTCTAATGACAGAAGGATTTAGAGAAGTCAGTGTGTGTCCAACTGATGTGTTCGTCAACTGAAGAAAACAAAAAATGCACAAATATGAATCTATTGGTATTTTTAAAGTCCAGAATTTCTTGGAATGGGGCCAAATCCTGGTCTTAGTTTAGCAATTTATTAATAAATGATATTTGAGTACAGTGTGTTACTATAAAAAAATATCTTTTGTAAAGTTGTACATTTACAATATTTGTAAACTGTACTATTCCAAATTGTACAGTATGTACAGTATTAAGTCTTAAGCCACTGAACATTTAAATTTGAGTTTAAAACCTTCTGTTTGTCCCAGCTCTCAATTTAGGATGTTAAAAAAATATTCATCTTTTCTCATTACTACAGAATGTCCTTTAAAAGCATTCATTACATTCTAACTACATGATGGACATATTTGTAGAGTTATTTATGCAACAATATTTAACATTTCTGATTCGTGTCAGCACAATACATAAATGCATAGAAAGACGACGGTTAACAAAGTTTACCACGTTCTTTTAAAATGTTGTTTTCCAGACCACCATAGGAACGGCCTACAAATACACTGTTCTAGAACTCAGAATTTGGAATCAAGCATGATATAAACAGACTCTTGGTAACACTTCACTTTCATTCAAAGTAGAATGAGTGGAATACACATACAGTACTATATATGTACTTAAAAATAGTTTAGGAAGCTTAATTTCTTACGATTGGTCACTCCGTCCTGAAGAAAGCTTGCACAATTGAAAACCTAGTCAATATCAAAGTCTAGCAAGGGAGGCGCAAATGAGAAAGCCAATCGAGATGCATGGAAGGGAACTTGTAAATGAAGGGAGCTGCAGCAGAGTGGTTCTGTGAAAAAGAACTCATATATCTCACTATCTCTGAGACAATGGTCAGCATACCATAGATTTAAGGGCATTAGCGGTGACTGCCTCCAGGAGCTACAGTAAGTGTTTCATCTCGCTGGCTGGAATAGGTATCGAGAGGTCGAAGATTGTGTTACACAGGGGAAAGACAGAAGTAAAAATAAACTTATTAAAGCTGGGAGCAGGGATGTTGTGAAGGGGAGAGAAATCAATGGGTCATGTTTAAACAACATAGGCTTGGGTGGCTTTTCTTAGTGGGCTAATCTTGAAGAGGGTAAACAACAGCATTAAAAGGGGAGAGGGGGACAGGGAAAGTAGCATTGGTGACCAGAGAGGCCTCTGTGGGACAGAAGAGCTGGTAGACACTAGCAATATGAGTGAGCTAATTTTCTTTCCAAAGAGTGAAGCGACAGACTTGAAGATTTGGCAGCTGGGAAATTTGCGAACAAACTGATGTGGTTGGAATAAGGAGAACAGTTAGCATGAGGAATCCAAATTCTGGGAGGTTCAGCAGACTCTCCACGGACTCTGCAAAAGCCACGTAGCTCCTTATAAGATCATTTAGAGGAAAACAAAAATTATGTAGGAATAGCTGACCATGTGGGCACAGAGGGGAGGAAAGCAAAATCTCGCTGTGAGAGAAACAACTGTCTGATGAGAGCAAAAGTTTGAATGGGAGGAAGAAGCACAAACAGAGTGTGTCCACAGGAAAACAGACATGGGCATGATTAGAATCTGCACACCTCTTTGTTTAGTGTCACAACAAAAGCATATGACCTAATAATTTGCTTTAGACACCAAGGTTTTTGATAACCTGCTAGCAGGTAGGTCCCTTCTGCTGGTGAATAGTGCAGAGTAATCATACTGTGGTCACCTCCACCCTCCACCAGAGCTCCACTACAATCTTGCTTTCTTTTAACAAGCATGGCACCTTATGCATTTCATTTCTTTAACAAAATTGTGAGTAACCCATACTGCAATCATATCAGGGAAGCAACCAAGAAATTTTGATATATTTGGAATATTTTTATTATTTACGGTTAATCGTGATGTCAATAGGGGCGTAATGATAGAAGGACAAGCAAGTTACAGATTTTCAATCATATCAAGATGGCCGTGGAAGGAAATTGGTACATAAAATGGCAGCATGACATAATCCATGGCAAAGGGAACAGGTGTGCATCCTATTCCAGGCAATATTAGCCGACTACTGTGCATCTAAAGGAGAGCACCAGAGTGGAATGTACTGTGAGCTAAAGTGGGAGTTTCATATACTGACACCACTGCACTGCATTGTACACTGTCCAATACACATATACTACTGTCCTGTATTCAAAAGCCTGGGAAGTTAGAAGAAAAGTAAACAAACTGTTTGCAAGTCACTACATTATATTAGGCGAAAATATATGTTAAATAGAAAATATTCTCTCAGGTTACAAGAATCTTTGAATACCTGAAAAATCCCTTTAAAATTATTTTAAAATATTATTGAATTATTGTATCTCTTTTTTAATAGTGATATCAGCACAAAATAGATTTTTACATATAAAACATAAAT